CCCAGAGCGAGAGCTATCGAATGGTGTATAGCATGTGATCATACCTCTCTAGATCGAGCTGGATAATTGTACGCACGCACGCACGCACGCACAAAGTGTTAGTAAAGTGAGAGAATACGCTCCGCTCGCTTCGCTCGCTCCGCAATTTCATCTCGTTTTTCATCCACCATAATCATTCTGAATTACAAGAGAAAGTGATCGATGTCTACGTCCTATGGCCCATAGGGCCCAAACCCATAGGCTATGGGTCTCCACCTCGGATACCGTCCATCATGCTGGGGCTCAGCAGCTTATCCAAAGTGACGCAAATTCGTGCGAGTTACAGCTAACGTGTGAATGCGAAGATTACCGCCGAAAATGTACTCGATAGAACGCAAGATATGGTGGACTTAGTCCACTGGACTACAGCCAAGTAGGTCGAATCGACCTGGTCGACAGCGCCAACCGTGAAAATAACTGGAGCTACGCCGACACTATTCGAATCTCGAGAGAGAGAACGCAAGATTGCAAGATAGTTGGAGAATCGCTAACTCTTGAGAGGCTCACGCGCACGCCCACCTGATCGATATCTGAGGGAACCCGCAAGATGTATTCATAGTGACCAGTAGACACCTGCGAAAGCCTTCACTAGCTTTGTTCGGCCATTATGAATGAATCTAAACTACTTCTCTCCTCTCTACTACCCTGGGCACGATTTTTTGGGCATTTTTAGCAAATTTCCAAGAATTTCCAGCCTCAACGGAAATTTCTGAAATTTTCTCGAAAATTTCCTTCGGAAATTTCCGCCCGTGCCCAAAGGGCAAACCCTGATCGAAAGGGCCTTGGATCAAACTGTTCACTGTTGTTGCTCTATCGCCATCGAGTACCATAGTAACAACCTCAACAATATACCTCACGAACACGGGAATCAAGTGGAGATCCCCTTCCCACCACCTCTCACCTCCAGGCGAGAATCCATAATAGGTTTACCAGCCTCCACACACAGACAGTAGGCCAGCTCCTCAGCTCTGTCTCGGAACCTATCCTCATTGTCCACCTCTCCGCATCATCCACAATTCCAACACTCCCACCTTTCCACGCAATGCTGGAGGATTCTTTTTCGTTGAAATGCCGGGAGCGCAGCCATCGTCTTCTCAGCTCCATGAGCCGTAGCTATAGCTCGTTCTACTTCCGGAGGCTTGGCCAAGGCCACGCGACACACCGCGGCGCCACTATACTTGTCGGTAACCTCGAGGTCGGTATTAGAGTATCTAAGACCAGTGGCTCAAATGACCCGCAAGCATCTGCTATCACACTGCTTCCCCAGCGAGATAGTAGGGCCATGCTGGAGCTATCTTCCGTGAAGAGATCATACGAACGGCCGACCATGGAGCCTTCCGACCACCCAGAGCTGGTACAACCCTCTGCATGGAGAACTGTGAAGGCAACTGAACAGCGGACACAACTTGTAGGTAGACAATACTACCACGCCCTCATATCAACTAACCACCACTTCCCAAATGTGAGGGAACTCCCTCTGAGACTGAGGAGGGCCCTGACAACGCAATTCTGGTTCAAGACACCTCTGAGGAAACACCTGTATAAGCTGCACATATTGAGAATTGACGAGCCCAGTTCTGCCTTGTTCGTGCGTGCAGCCCTGTGTACGTGCGTGCACCGCAATTGATGGTGTTTCTCCCTGAGCCATTATATTGATTGGCATCGACACGCTCAACTTCAGTTTCACAACCGTAAACTTGTCTACTTGTTGAAAATATGGAATTGTCGGCGCAGAGGGGGCGTATTGAGGATTGACGAGCCCAGTTCTGCCTTGTTCCTGCGTGCAGCCCTGTGTACGTGCGTGTACCGCAATTGATGGTGTTTCTCCCTGAGCCATTATATTGATTGGCATTAATACGTTCAATTCCAGTTTCACAACCGTAAACTTGTCTACTTGTTGTTAATATGGAATTGTCGGGGCAGAGGGGGCGTATTGAGAATTGACGAGCCCAGTTCTGCCTTGCTCGTGCGTGCAGCCCTGTGTACGTACGTGCATCGCAATTGATGGTGTTTCTCCCTGAGCCAGTGATTGGCATTGACACGCTCAACTTCAGTTTCACAACCGTGAACTTGTCTACTTGTTGTTAATAACAGCAGCGAAGAAACTCTTGAGTAGAAGTAATATATCCGCTGTATGCGGTAACTCGAGCTTAATGCTCTTTGTGGTCGACTTATCAATCACGGTGAATTCGCCTCTCAAACTCATCGTAGTTGAGGCAAACAATAATGCGCTCTCTCGGCACGCCAGCAGCTAAGAGTGTCTCCAACGTATGTCCAGGCCCAGTCCCGTGGACCAGCACCTAAGACGAGGCGTCGCAACCACCTCACAATGAAGAGAGCTCACCTTGTCGAGGAGGTCCGGCAGCAACCTACGAGCCTCCGTAAAGGCCGAACCACTCCCCCAGAAGATATAGGTAGCGGACTTCAACTGCTCTGGACAGCTCCGAGGTTCATACTTCGAAACCAACGTATAGGTCCCAAGTTGTTCCACCTATAAACGAGTCATATGAACTCCTCTCGTTTACTTTCTCCATACCTCGCAATCTGGAGCCGTGTCGAAATGGCCATTTCCTTGCTCCTCAGCCGCCTTGGTATGAGTGAGTTTAATCCACTTCCTCAGCGACGGAGCGATGCTCTTCTTCAAGTCAGGATCCTCGATCTCGCCAAGACCATCAGTGCACCCTGAAGGACACCCACACTCCATCGACAACACTGCTGACCACCAACCTTACCAACACACCAAAGGCCCCTCTGTGCAAGATGCTGCCACGAAGGGATGCCTGCCACCCACACAGGGATGTTCATCGCATTGATATCCTCTACCAAGTCCGCAGGGGCATTGGGTAATGCAGTAGACTTGGCAATCCACAATCCGACCTAGCATCAAAGAACCACTCTCTACACCCATTACAGCAACGAAGGCCACTTACCCCGTCTCCAGCGCCCCTCAAGGCTTCCAATAGGCGTTCACCAGCGGTAGTATCCTCTTCACGGGTGAAAAGGGAGAGTCCTCCAGCACCCCCAACCTGACACAGTAATGCTGAGGAACGATCACAGCTCCCACCAGCAGCCAGTATATTACCTTCAGTGGATGCTCGCCGGGGTCGACTCGCAAACTGTCATCAATGGCGTTGGTAGGAATGATTTCGCTCCTCAGAAGGTCCACTCCTCCATCTGTTCGGCCCCTCAAGTGCCCTACTTTGCCGTACCATCGCGGCAAGACCGTGCACCCGATCCTCTGATGACATCCTCCACCGTATCTACACCAGGCGCATCAACAGGGGAATACAACAACCTAGGGGCCTACGCGCCGAGGACCTCCTTCTCCCGCCAGGCGGCTTGGAATGTTTGCTCGTCGTTGAGCTTTGAGACGATCTGAAAACGCCCAATGAAGATACTCCTAGTCAGCGAATGGCCGTTCTACGGAGGACTACTACCTTCCGAACATGCCCCTTCTCAGACGCCGTGCTGACCTCAACCCCCAAGGCTCCCTGAGCTGCAGCAGTTGGGTTAGCAGATAAAGGCAATACCATGCAGTGACACTTGGACAAGTACCTGCACGTTTAGACAAGCCATGAGAGCTCCTTGCAGTGTACAGCGGAACACCATTGAAGCTGTCATTTGAGGGGACTAAGGGGTGAACAGAGCTCTTACCCTTGAACCAGCTCTCGACTATTCCGGAACTCTCCTCGATGGCTCTGAGCAAAGCGATCCACCGCAGCCTTAGCAAGGACCAAGGCGTGGGGTCGAGGGCCGAGACTGGCGTCGTGTCGGGCTGGGTCCATCAGCTTACGCATCCGCGTCTGAGGAGATGACTAGATTCACAGCTAAGCCGGACCCACATTGCTTACTTGGATGTTGCCGCGAACGTCTCGGAACTCGACAGTCTCAACACCAGGAACCGCCCTCTGAAGGAACGCTGGGAGATTCCACTGCCTCCGAGGAGAGGACGACAGTACAATCAACTTGCCGTTCATCGCACGACTGAGGAACCAATGGCAGAGTAACTGCGGCTATCGGCGAGGCACTAGTACATTTCGGCTTCGGCGTCTTTGCGAATGATGATGAGGTCTCGAGGGTCAGCCCGAGGCAAGGTAGCCGCTACAGTAGTACCAGCCTCCTCGGCCAGAGGAAGGTCTTTCCACGAGTGGACCACTAGGTCTACGCTTCCTGCAGAGAAAATCCATTGAACACTCGACGAGGCCAAGTGCTCAACTCCACAGAGGAAATTGAACAATACTCAATGACAGGTCGCCTACCGTCCAACAGTTTCTGTCTGAGGAAGGTAGTGAAGACTCCGGTCTCGGGCATCTTCCACAGAGGGTCCTTCAAGTTGGTATCTCCAGGAGCCTCCTGGTACTCACATTCAACCTGTCATCAATTGACCACGATACTGACCCCGACAAGCACTACCTTATAACCCATTTCTTCAAGCCGGTCTGCCACCATGAGTGTCTGCAGACGGGCCAGGTCGCTCCTCCTGGACCCGATGCGGAGTGTTGCGTTGGAGTCGGATGACATAGTCGTTATTGAGGAAAGGAACTGCGAAGGAAGATCCTGTCAACGTAGATGTCTCAGCTGAACAACGTTTAAGCTTCGTCCCACCAGCGGTAAGTAGGCATTTACAGAAGCCTTTGCGGGCCCGCCGCTGATCAGCTGCGCATGATGTTACGGTGACAGAGCACACAAAAGTCTTGACGAAAGGCGTTGATTGTAGTGCACCTCGATCAACTGGTCCAGGGTTCGATTCCTTGTAACACCATGTTGGACCGTGAGACATCGCGAGCGTTACAGGAATGACCTTCTTGTAGAAGCTCTGATATCAATGCAAGTCGGTCGGACAGTGCATCATGGCGTCACAATTCGTCGATATTCCTCTCTAGATATTCTCGGCATCTTTCCGTCATGCCAGTGTATTCATCAACTGAGCAGCTTCCGAGTCCTTTGAGCCCAAAAGGGATCTTTAAGAGTTGGTTAGTATTGCTTCATGTAAGTTCAGGTCTTCGATTCGCAATGATTGCGGCGGGTTCACTCTGTGGACATTGAACTGAATGGTGAGCATGCGTTAGTCGCTTCAGCACATTCGAGACTCTCGTGATCATCCCTTGCTGTGCCTGACCCTCGCGGGATCTATTTGGGTGCTCTGGCTATTGGACGCCCTGGACGCTCATCTGTTCCCTTCGCCCAATGCATGGACAACACAACAAGAGTGCATGGAATGCATTCGGGGCCGACTCGACAGCGTAGGGGGTTCTCCATCTGGTATAGACGATCTCGAACTCTCTAACAGGTCGATGATCTAAAGGGTGTTGCCTTGTCTGGTTTTCGAACATTGATCATTTCCAACGCAGCATTGAGTTTTTTGCAAGCCGCCACGCTGACACTGATGTTAGTGATTCTTGGGTACACCTGGGAACTGCGCGTAGGTAGGATGCACTGCATGACTGTGAAGGATTCGGCAGAGCGTATGTGGCTCTTATCGACGCAGGAACTCTCCGTGCCTTTGTCTCGGCCTTGATAGTAGCAGCAACTGGTTTCGCCCTTATGCGCGTGATGGATCTCAATGGTATCAGCACCTGTAATGAACCGTTAAGATACAATAGGGTTGAGGGGAGCCTTCCATTGGCTGTTGCACGTAAGCCTAGTCACGGGGCTTGAATGCGAACTGGCATTATGATTGCACGATCGTCGCAGTGAGTGACTTAGTGGGACTAGGAGCGTAGTTTCTCAGTTATGGTCCTTCTCGCCTCGGAGCAAATTCGGATATCCACCGACATGCTTCCGCGGGAGCTTCGATTGGGATTCAGAGTCGCACCCGAATGGCATTGCTTACTAATTTTCATAGTGTAAGTGGTACGATTCAGTTCGCAAACTCTCATGGGTACCCAAGATCTTGCTCAATGGGAACGCACAATTGTTTTCTCGAATTATCAGGGCGTCGTGGCAGTTATCAACGATCTCACTAGTGAGGATGTACACTCCCTGGTTGGTCTCAGGACTGTTACTCGGTCTCTGCAATCTGACCGCAATCAAAAGACTTTTTGCAAGTCTTCGGGATTCGAAGGTCGGTGCAGTCATTGTGGATCAACGGCATTGCTCCCTTGCAGCGAGAAAGAACCCCACGCTGTTCTCCCTAGATACAGCATCTGTTGAAGCACTTGGCTGTGCTTGTGGTGGCGATATGTTACTGCCCTTTCACTTTCGCAGGCCGACCAACATTCGACCAAGTAAGGCGGTCGTGCACTAAATCATTGGAGTGATTTCGACTTCCTTGGTTCCAGGTTCTCCCTGCGAGCCTTAGAATGACGATATGGCAGGGGTCTGAGCAGATTCTCAGTGGAGAAGATCTTCTAGGCCCCATAATTTTCAAAGCGGTTATCCTTGGTTCGCTAGCGGTGCTAGTCTCTGGCAGAACAGGCAGGAGCCGGTGGTGGTGGTGCCAGCCGATCCATATCCCTTTCAGACCTCTTCTACTACATCGGAGGAATCAGCGTTCTCTTGCTGACGTTCTATGTGATGAGCTCGCCGGTGTTCGTCTTCCCTCACTTGGGATTGGTAAGCTTT